AATCAAGCAGCTTATTTTGGGACATCTTCCTCTTCACAGGAAGTGTTACTTAGCAGCACACCAGCCTACATTCCTTGGAAAAAAGGGAAGTTTTTCAGATAAAAATTCTTTCAAGAGAGAAGTAGGCTTCTTAACACCCCCCGTTCTCACAGAAACTGAGGAAACTGACCACAGAAGGCCTGGTCCTTTAAACTGGTAACACTGAATGGGCTTCAGTCATGGTTAAACCTTTATCCTCCTCCTCAGTATCTGGAGGTTGATTTATGTGAACTGCTTGATGCCACGATAGGTAGACTTTGGAGGGAATGTCCAGCTTTCACATCTATGTAGTTCAGCAATGGCTCACTCACCTAACAACATGATTTGCCTTCAGATGGCAGAAAGGCTTGTTCCCTTATTTGTGCTGAGGTATTTACAAGCAATAAAAAAACCTGAAGGAGCACTGAGAATACTCAGATCTTGTTAATTACTATATAATGGTGTCTCTATTCCAAAAAACTTACAGTCCCACAGCCTTCAACAACAGGTCTCACTGTGGTGATCGCTGCCTGTTAGTGCTTGCTAAACACGAGGGCAGGCAGAAGTGAATGCAAAGCCTTATGTGGTTCTTGTAACTGAAATTCTTCACAGAAGAGGTATTTGTCAGAAGCTACCTGAGGAAAGTACAGGGCTTGTTTCGATTGTATGTGTGTACCAGCTACATCCTCTACGCTAACATCACATTCATGTGATGCATTTATTTTACAATGCTTCGTTATTAAGACATTTCTATATTAGCATTTTATTTTCACATTCCTTTAATCTCGTCACTCTGTTGCAGCAAATGCTGACATTTAAAGCTGTGGTTCCTTTTTTATTGCTGGCACTGGTTCCTCTAGAGCAGACTGAGCACTAAATCTGAACGGCGTACACATCACATGCTATTGCAGGGTTTTTTCAAGGCTCAGGAAACTAATCATGCCAAAAATGTCTGCCTAGAACATCTACAAAATGGTGCATTATTATTTGCAGATTATATTATTTTCTAACATGAATATTATGTCATTGTATCTCTCCAACTGCAATGATCTCTGCAGTGATGGTCTTGTTATCAGAACTGTATTCAGTTAGCATGGCACAGGTACATAACTAAAGAATGTAAAGATCATGCAGCAAAAACCTTCAGAATCTTAGGCAATTGTATTGGGTGTGAATGTGAGGTGCTAACTGCTAACCGAACAGGCTCAGTAAGTTCTGTGCTGATTGAAAAGTGGAAAAGCAAAGGAGCTCAGTGAGTGACAGGCAGGAAAAAGAGGCAGATACTTCATGGATGGAATGAGAGTCCAGCAGGGAATTTCAGACGCCTGGTCCCGTGAATCGAGATTTCCTTCTACCAGTTACTGTATTCCTAACACTGTATCATTAATGACCTGACTTTTACCACCAAGTCAAATGAGGATAAAATACTTACATTCAATTTTTTTTGACAAATATTTTAGCTATTGTGAGATAAAAAAGCATTTGAAAACCCTATTTTTCTCCAGTCAGAAATCTCATCATTTTGTGTCACATGTTGATGGCTTTGTTTGTTTTGGATTTTCTTTTGCACCTGATTTTAATACAAATATGTAAAGAGACAGTAGTGCAGCACATGCTGAAAACCTTACTCCACCCTCTTATACTTTGTGATTCACCTTTGCTCTCTGTAAAACTGGCTCCTGCATTTCTTCAGTCTGACCTCTAACTTCAAGTATCTGTGAGCCACAGTTACAGCTTGTTGCCCCCCCAGGAGCTGTAACGCTCTCCAGAAGGGCACAACTTCACTTTTGACGCAGATATTTTAACATGCTATTTCCTGAAGGCAATCGAGCAGACCTGCTGTCAGCAGGAAGTGCCATCCAGGAGTAGGAGAATGCATCTGTGAATCACTCTTAGGTGTTCTGGTTTTTTCCCTGACATGTTTCCTGGTATGTACAGTGTGTACTGGTACTTCCCTGCTTCTCTGCTTATTTACTTGTGGCTTTATTAATAAACTAATATGATAAAGAGCACAGCAATGGTTTGAAAGATGCTATAAAAGCACAAAATATTATTGTCTCTGTAATGCTGTCATGATGAGTAAAACTTTCCAGTATTGCATCAGTGTGATTACCCTGCCACTCCCCATCCACAAAGGATAATAATCTTCCTTCAGTGCCAGCACACGCACAATGCACACATTCAGACAGGCTCCCAAACAATTTAAATGATTATTTCCTCTCAATGTCTAAGAAAAACACTTGAAACAATTGCAATGGGTGATGGATGATAAGGTGAACAATATTAGGACTGACCTAAGCCTCAAAGTTATGGTTCATGACCTTATCAGAATTATGGAAAGGTTTATAATTGGTTATAGCTACTGCCATTCATTCTTTGCTTTTTGCATGCTCCTCTGTGAATTGCATCTGTAACTATTCTATATACAACCCAGCAGAGCAATCACACTTACTAAGCTGATCATTTTTGCATGAAGATGTTTGTTAGTAACCTCTTACTCGCCTGCTCTGTCTTCCATCCTGTTCTCTAATTCTACATTTCTTTTACTTTGTCAAACTGTTTCTGTGTCCGCTTCTCCTTACAGTCTCAGGGGAAACAAATAACATATCTGCAAAGTGCTAAACATTATGCCCCACATAAGTGAGCTTTTTTCTTTTTAAAATACCAATACGTTTCTTACTGGTGAAACAAAAATGATGTAAGAATTAATTGAAGCCTAGATGAAATGTATTAAAGCCTAGTAATAAAATAATAGTGCATTGTGTACCGTAAGGAGCATGCACACAAGAAGCAGTTTGTCCTCCAGGGCAGGGACAGAACTCTTACCTGGAGAGAGGTTAGGATTTCAAATTCAAATTATCAACAATTCTGGAGTGAATAAATATGTACAGATGTGGGAAAAACAGCACATGACTGTTCCTATCATCATTATGTGATACTTTTGTAATAACTAACAGTCAATGCTCATCTAGATATTTTCTAATATCAGCACTTACACATCCAATTAGAATTGTCAGTTAGAACACACTCAAAGCATACTGTGTTTTAAAGTAAGTCATTCTTGGCGATGCTTAAACTAACTGATCTCAAAAGAATCGGAGCACTGAGAAGGAAGTGCATTAAAATATACTGCTTGTTTCATGACAGGATCATTAATGCCATTTGTGCCAATGTCAGTGTTTCCTCCATGATTGCTTTATCCTTGTCTTTCTATGCTATTTTGTAACAATGTTGTAAATTTCATTGTGATTTTTTTTTTTCATGAAACAAATTCCCATTATCCGTGTGGGTAAAAAAGAAACGGCAGAGGATTGGGAGGTGGGGAAATCAGAAGTACTTTTACATGTCACCTGAATCTTTCCGTGCTCTGATCTCCTCAGGACCCTTACATAAACCAGACAGTGTTCAGGTCTGCTCTGTTTCTGTGCGGTACCTGAAAGGCCCCAGACGCGGCTGTATGAGCCAAGAGCAGCAGGAGCACTGTGCCACTGCCCACACCTCTCCTCTGAGCTCCTGGGGCCGGGTAGGGAGAGGTTGCCAAGTCATTGGCAGAGCAGGATATTCAGCTTGAATGACGTATCGCTTCAGCCTCCGTCTGCATGGGGGAACGTGGACATACAGGTTTTATAAAAATAGCCTTTCATTTTTTCAGTGATAGTTATCATATTTTCCCCACTGACATGAAATATCTGAGAATTATCTTTGCTCACCAAAGGAAAATGGAAGAGAGTAAATATCATGCGATGCTGTGTCCACTGATGAGGTTTTGTTTTGTGGTTGCAAATAATTTAGACATGTTCTGAAATTAACAGGAGATAAATCACTGGAAACCCCCTGGGATGGCACCTCTGTTGATTTCAGTGCATTGATGGTCGCTCGGCACAAGAAGATTGTGCTTGAGCCTCTTCCTCATGCTTCTTTTGATGGATGGCAACACAAAGAGAATGGTGGATGTGTGTGTCAGTCCAACCAGCAGCCTCTGCCAAGGAGAAGAACAGCAACTGTGGAAAGGAAAAGGCTCCTGGGATCATCGGGCCTGATCTGCTTGACTTTTACTTCAACAGTTGCAGGAAATAAATGGTTTCCTTAGGGCAAAAAAGAAACCCAGGGCTCTGTGCAGCCTGGCAGCCCCAGTATGAGTGGTCCAGACTGCCCTGCCTGGAGAAGCTGGCTGTGTACTGAAGTGGCCTAAAACCTGCCGGCAGATTTAATTAATGCCGCAGCATGGAGGGGGGAGGGCAGCAGGAGGATCCATCGATGGAAGGAAGCATTCTGGCTCTGCATTGTGCCGGCATGTGGAGCGAGAGGGACCAGCTTGAAGGGAAATGGGCACCTGTCCGTGGAGGCACATGGAATGCCACAGGTTGTCCTTAGCTCAAGTTGCATCTGCACAGTAAATCTGTACAGCGAACCTAATTCCACATCGGCACGTTTCTTACAGTACTGTGCATCGGTGTGTGCACAAAAGCCTCGTGGCAGATGGGCCTTACGAGTGTTGAAAGCGGAGATTCCAAAATGGTGTCCAAAAGGAGCGTTTGGTTTGAGAAGTTTGAGGCGATGCGGCTGCCAGGCCTCCACACCAGAGAGCCGGGGCCAGGCGGGATTCTGCCCCACGGACTCAGGCGCACGGAGAGCAGGCAGGAGCCGCAGCACAGCCTGCCGGGTGGGCGAGCAGCCCGCGCCCACTGCGCGTCTCGGCAGCACCGCTGCGTGACACCGCATTTCTGTAAGGCTCCGCGCGATTCAACGACAGCAAGAAATAAAAAGGGATCGGCCCCGGGCCGCCCCGGCGCAGAGCAGCAGGCGGCGGGGAGCCCGGCTGGGCAGCGGGGCCGCTCCCGCTCCGACGGACGGAGGAACCCCAGCAGCAGCGCCACGGCGGCTCCCGGGAGGGCGGGGCGCCCCGAGCGGTCCCGGAGGCGGGGCGGCGGCCGCACGGAGCCCGGCCGGATGTGAGCGGAGCGGCCGCTTCCTGTTTCCCGCAGTTCTCTCTCCCCGCCTTGGGTGGTGGCCGCTGCTTCGTCCCCGCTCGCAGGCACAGGGCGGAGGCGGCCGCGACACGCTGCGGAGCGCTCCGCCGCCGGCTGCCTTCTCGCGCGGCGCTCCCCGCCCCGCCCCGCTCAGCGGCCGCGATGCAGGCCATCAAGTGTGTGGTGGTGGGCGACGGGTGAGTGCGGCCCCGCGGCGGGCGGCGGCGCGGATCCCCTCGGTCGGGCCCGGGCCCGAGCCCCGCCGGATCGCGAGGCCGGGCGCCGTTCCGGGGGGGATGCGGGGGCGACACGGGGACGGGCGGGGGGCGACGGCCGCCTGCGGGCGGGGGAGGGGAGCGGAGCGAGTGCGGGCCGGGCGGCGGCCGCTGCCGGCAAATGGTGGCTCCGGGAGGGGCGGGCGGAGCGCGGGCCGAACGCGGCCCCAGCCCAGCCCGAACACAGCCCGCTCCGCGCCGTGGCGGCGGGTGGTGCCGGCCGAGGCGGGGCGGGGGTGCGCACTGCCGGGCGGGGCCCTGCGGGGCTGCGGGCTGTGCGGGGCCGCGCCGAGGAGGAGGCAGCGCGTCACGGCGGGTACGGGCGGAACGGCGGGAGGCGGCTCGTGCCGCGTGAAACCTCTAACGCGGGAGCGGCGAGGTAACGAACTTGTGTGGTTAAATCTGCCTTCTGCAAAACGAAGTGAAATCTGTTACGCTCCGATCAAACCCTAAACACGCGTTAGCAGAGCGCTTTCCTGCTCGCATGGCTTCTGTCTGGGTGAGGTTCCTGGCTGCAAGAGGCTGAGAAAGCAATTGAAACCCGACTAATTAACATCATACTCATCTGTAAATGACTGCTATGCCTGCAGCACTCTGAATGTGATGGTCCTTATAAATTAGTTAGAAACAACTTCTTAGGGTCAGCTAGCACTAGGCTTACCTGTTGGATTTCAGTATAAGCTCTGGAATTGTGATGGGGAAGGAGCTGTGCTTGCTGCTTCGCCGTGCTCTCTGCCATGTGTTGCCGTTGACCCAGAGGCGTCCTTTCTCTCCTGCTGGATGCCAGAGCTCAGGGCAGCAGTGCAGGGCGGCTGAACAAGGCGTGGCTTGTGCGGTTCCACGGGGTTTTTTTCCCCCTTGGTAGAAACAAAAATCCCAGTGTAGGCCAAGCAGAATTGGTGTCACAGCAAAGCTCTGCGGATGACAGAGGGCTGTAAGTGTCACTGGATGGCCTTGCTGCTGTCTCTGTCACTGAATGTGGTGGATTAAAATTCAAGTTATTTGTGTGTGCTTTTGTATTTTTTCAACAAGACTTGGAGTCCTCGAGCAGACAGCTGTTAGAAAGATAAACTTAACTCATGCAGCAAATTTGTTCTGCCTGCTCTTGCTGTGCAGGGTTTTGAGCAGTACGAACGTGAGTGTACTGAGTGCTTGATCATCTGACAGAGCTTTTCATAGTCCTGTAATTAACTGATGGTGGGCAGCATGACTGCAGGCTAATTTTTTGGTTGCGTTGATTTTTAAAACAACTAAAATAGCTTTATTTTATTGTCAGTTTTTAATGTTAATTAATGTCTGTGGCAGTGCCGTAAATAAATGCGGTGCATCAAGTTTGGGTGGGGAAAAAGTTCAGCCTCTTTCCTCCACTGGGCTGGAGAGCTCAGTGCAGACCATGCGTTACTCAGTGATTCACTCAGCAAAGCAGTTCTTTTTTGTCCCTTGTTTTGTAAACTACTCCTTTTCCAAATGCTTTTCCTGCTCTTCGTGCTGGAAATGAAAGTGTGTAGTCCTACCCAAGTCTTATACACATGTGTAAACAAAACAGGATTTAGTGAGCTTTCCTTCCTCTGTAGTACAAACACAGACCTCTTAGGATCCCATCTAGAAGCGATTGCTCAGTTTTGGTATCTGTTAATTGTCCTCTGCTGGGATTTTAAAATATTTTATGGTGTTTCTCTGTTGTTGCTTCAGAAGTGAAGGCGTTACAGGCATTCTCGTAAATGTGTAATGTTTGGCTTAGATAAGGCTAAAGCTTCAGTGCTTCAGGAAAACAATTCAAGTTAAAGATTTGCTTGTATGACATAAAACTTAGGTGCTGATGCATGTACCCTGTGGAGATCCACTGGGAACAAAGCAGAGCTGTGGATGTACCTGTGCAGCCTTTAACATCTATAAGCGAGCAGGAGGGTTCTGATCCGTAAGCCCTGTTTGTTCTTAGGGCTCTGACTAGTAAGTTTTCAGAGCTCTAGTTTGGCTGAAAAACACAGCATGTATGCTGGTTGTGCAGTTTCGTTTTGCCCTTGTGTTCCTCTTCACTGTGAGGATTGTTAGGAAAATAAATGGCAACTGTTGCTTGTGCTTGTTGAAGATGCAGAGCAATAGGAACATGCGGGAGGGATGATGAGCACTGTGCCTGGATAATAACTGCAGGGGTTGCTGCTGACTGACACTTGTGAATAGCACTGCTAGAAGTTATTTTTAGCAGCTTTTGTTTTCACTCTGAAATAGCAGCTGTTAAGTGGTACGAAATCTCAAGTGATCTCGTGTAACGTAGGGGAAGTCCTGCGCTTTGGAGAAACGATTATTAGATGCCAGAGAAATGGTCGACTTCGTGCTCTTTTGGATGTGATTTTCATTGTAAAAAATATTGTAAGAACGAGAGAGATGAATTAAGAGTCCGTGTTTGGAATTCTGCTCGCCTTGAGGCCTTGCTGGCTAAAGCTGTGCTGCTTGATCTGACAACTTGTCAAGAGGAAGGGGGTGATGGGCTCCTTACCAGTGCAGGGCGAGGTTCTGAGCTCCTCCGCTCTCCAGTGCCACCTGCGGAGAGTGCAGAGACTCCAAGTGGAGGAACTTCTGTTATTGCACTTCTAGGGTTTAAATTAAAAATTGCGTAGTATTGGAAATGCTGAGCAGCGTATTTGGGAGATGGGTGTCACAGTGAGAAAAGCGGCTCATCTGGAAAAGCAGCATATATCTAAACCTCTGCTGTAGCAAAAATATGGCACTGTCTGTCCAAGGACAGTGCTGGTGATGTCCCGTCCACTGCCTGATGTGAGTGGAGAACTGGGCCGTGCAGCACACCTGGGGTGGAGCTGGTTCACAGAGCTGAGAGATAAAGTGATGATGTTGTCAGTGGCTTTCAGAAGGCTGCCACCTGTTTGCAGATATCAGCATTTTTGGAATTAAAACAGCAATTACTTCAGCTGGCCACCTCCTCCATTCCTGTGGCTGCAAACAGCAACTAAATTCACACAATTGGGTTTTAGTCATGGGAGAGGAGGAGAGTGGAGCATCTGTGTAGCTCTGCTGCCTGCAGGATAAGGAAATGCTGGCACAGGTCCTCTGATGGCATTCTGAGCATGTCACGTACGTCTCTGCCAGCAGCAGTAACGTGGGGAGCTCTGCAGAACCGCTTGGTGTAAAAAAGGGATGGCATGCCTTGTTTCCAGGAACACACGTGTGGTTTTACAAAGACTGGTTCCTGGAGGGTGTCAGAAAGCAATTCACTGCAGCGTTTGTAAGTCCTTCACTTAGTGTAAAGTCATTAAAATGCTGGATTTCTGTTGGCCGTGTTTTTAATTGCAGTCAAATGTTACCAGTTTCATTTGATGCAATCGTGGGTGGACAGAGCTGTGATTAAGTAGTTGCTCGAAATTTTGTTATGACTAAGTTTGGTTTGGAAGTATCTGAGTGTCTTAGTCTTCATGTGCAAAGATTTATACTTTGCCAAACAAGTGCAGTTCTTTCTAAGTTACTTATCACAGACCTTGGTCAGCTTGGAGAAAAGCTGTAAGCACTTAGAGGTTGAGCTTCATTGCAAAGATAGATTTTGGAGTTCATTTTGAAGATTGGTAACTGTAATATCTGATTTGTGGGGCAGTGAGCCAGAAGGCAAGGGAAGCAGGAAGCCTGGAATGGAGCAAGCCTGAAACAGGGTTGTTGAACGTGTTTCTTCTTGTTTAAGTGACTGCCTGATTGTGCTGCTGATACAAGCTGCAGGCGGGCACTTCTGAGCATGGAATGAAACCTGTCTCCACCTCCCTGCGCTGTTCTATGGGCCAGAGCAGACTCATTGGTTTCAGAGCAGGGTGAGCAAAGAAGCCAAAGCTTCTTGGGCCTCTGCTGAAAGTGTTAAGTTCCACAGGAATTTGTTAGAAGCTTATGTTGTCTGTAATGAACGCTGGAAAGTGAAGCATCAGACCAGACAGGTTCTGGAAGCTCATGAGCATGTAGCTTGGAGCCACAGGAAGTTTCCTAAGGAGTGTGTGCCTTGCTGCTCTCAGTGTTTGAGGGTTTTCCTGTTTGTCCTTCGTCGGCTAGACTGGCAGAGCCTGCTCTATAGCTTGATGACAGCATTCAGCAGCACGCTGTGGTGGGTAAAGCAGCCCAAGGATCTGAGCAGCAGGTTGTCCTTAGGAGGGAGTGCAGAGCTTCCCTGCCATGTAGTGGCTTGTTAGCAGTCAGCTGAGTGCCTCTGCAAGGGGGACAGCATGGGATCTCCTCTGCTGGCAGCTGTTAAGCCAGCTTAGCTGTGTGGCACACTGCTCCCAGATTTCTCCCACAGAAGTTCCTGTATGGTAAATGTCTGTGCTGCTCTGTGTGTGAGTGTGTCAAACATGTTGCTACAGGAAAACATCCACAGGTCGTACTTTTGTAGAGCAAAGGAATATTCTGGCGTTCAGTTCATATGGTAGAAGAAAAGAAGAATGTCAGATCGTGTTTCTTTAGAGCACGTGTGAAAAACAGTGCAAGAAGCTGCCACTGTGTGCTGTGATTAGAGAGCGGCAGGTGGGACATTCTGCTCAGGAACAAAAGCACAGTTAAGAAATGGGCATGGAGGATAAAATCTGTGGCATTACTGTGCACAGTGAAGCAGCTCCTCTTACATGGCTTGAATGTGTGTGGTGCTGTTGTGAGGGGTTGCCATGGCCTTTCTGGGTTGACTGGCACTGGGCTTACATGCTCCTTACAGGCTCAGCTATGACAAAGGTACTTAACCTGCCTTAGACTGTGAGTCACTAGGTAAGGCTGATTGGTTAACATAGAGTGTCAAATGATTTTTAAATAGTGTTTTGAAGTTGATCTTTGGTATAAGAAGTAGCAATCCACGGTTCTCCAGAAAGAAAAGAAATGCTATGATTCAAATGTGAAGTAGTTGCTAAAATTCAGATATGAACAGCCTCAGCTGTTTGCAGGAGGGGAGCTATGAGCCCATGACTAATGCTCATTTCTGTGAGTTGTCTTTGTCTTCTGCACAAGCGAAGGGATTACAGGGTATTTTTAGCAGTAGCATTTGGTTTCTGGTGATATTTTGTTGTTGTTAATACTAGCTGTGGTTCTAGACTAAAGCTTCCTTCAGCTTGTGACAGATTCGATTCAGGAGGCCTGAGAGTCCAACCTGCTGCTAGCAGCAAGGTTTGTACATACAGTAAGGCTGGGAAGTTCCTAGTGGCTTGCTTTCAGTGTGCAGAGAGAAAGCTGTTTGCTTGGGCAGGAGCATCTGAGAAGGGCAGGTGGGTGGGATGTGGGGCGGTTTGGGTGCTGTCTTCTGCAAGGAACTGTGGGCACAGTGACCTGGACTCCCTCACACCACCAAAGGACTGCGCTTGAAGTGAGAAGCCAGCATAGGAACCAAGCTGCAGCCCATTAAAAAAAAAAAAAATCCAATTTCAAGCATTCTGATCCTTCAGTTGTAGCTGAAACAGAAGTTCAGGTGTGGTCCCTCCTCTGATGTCCGAGTGTAGGTGAGATGTGAGGATGGGAGGAAAGCGAAGCGCTTGCTGCCGGCATTGTGGCAGAGGGCTGGGGCAGCTCACGGTGCTTCTGCTGGTTTGGGGCTCTTTGGAGCTGCTGGGTTTGGTGCTGGGAGCTCTTTCCTCAGTGTTGGAATGCAGTTTATCTGTAAGGCAGCCAGCGAGGTGCTTGGGTGGTTGGTGAATGCGTGCCGGGAGTCACTTTGCAGTAGCAGTAAACATTTTGGGGATTGCCATTTGTATTGCTCTCACGTAGGCAAAAATAATTATATGCTGAGAAATCATGTCAAGCTTTCTTCAAATTTGTATAAAATAAAACTAAAGGTAACAGAATGGATGTTTATATTAGCTGTGCTTCCATTAGCAGTAACCTTAGGGCTACAGCCTCTTCTTTTTGTGTGCAATAGTTTCTACTGGCACTCTCAATTGTTCCTTAGGTGACTGGGTGTAATTAGTTTTCTTCCCTAAGAGGAATATTATTGCTCGCTATTTAAGATGAATGTTCTTTACATGTAAACTTTCTCTTTTTTGCAGTGCTGTAGGTAAGACATGCCTACTCATCAGTTACACAACCAATGCGTTTCCTGGGGAATACATACCCACAGTGTAAGTACTTACAAAATTCTAAAAACATTTGTCAGCACAGTGGTGCTTACTGCTGGTCCAGCTTCCTCACTGAGCTGCCTGAAATACCTGCACACCACTCAGTGCCATCAGAACATCTGGCTGAGCATCTGCGTGTGCTGCAGGGGCAGTGTGCTGGGCTGCCCTTAGCGAGGCTGTGGCAGCACTTCCAGTGAGTAGATTTGGCTCTACCTGAGCACAAGGCCGCCTCGACTGGGACGGGTATTTAGTGACATTTTGACAGTTACCATTCTTTCTTACAATAACACGTTTGACCGTGCTATTAGTACAGAAATAACAGCTTGTAAACCAATTATGTCTATGCTTTATGTGACTACAGGTGAGACTTTTCTGTTCCTTCCTCTTTTGTGTATGCGTTAGTGCCAGTCCTGTGCTGAGCTGGCCACAGCTCAGTGGCTCCTCACGCATTGGTAGGGGAACTCATCTATTTTTGGTGCTTCCCTCTATCTTGCATGGAAGAACTTACTGCTATCAGTATTAGTGCAGTTCCCTTTGTGAGGGCCTGCTGGGTGGCCTTTCATACACAAGCAGCTTCCCTACCCTTAACAGATGTCTCTGTAAAGTGCATTTATCTAGCTTGTTCTCTGTAAGTGTTGATGAGAGGTTTCGGATGACTTTAGTAACTCTAAGGCCTTCTTGTCTTAATTACTCCTGTTTCCCTTTTTTTTGTCTTAAATTTTTGTGTGATGTTATGCATGCGTTCCTGCTGAAGTTGGTTTGCCCTAAAACGTTCAATTGTGTCTACAGAAATGATTAAAATCACACTTCTACTGCTCCTGGTATTTGAAGTATTTAAAAACTTTTTCTGGGGAGCAGAAAGATGCGATAAGTGTTCTCTCTTATAGCTTTCCTAATTAGGACTCTGCAGGAAGAAATGCTCAAGGTGCCCAATTTTACTGCAGGCAGATGCAGCTAGCTTTTAATTTTTATTTTCTAGCTTTGACAACTACTCTGCTAATGTAATGGTTGATGGCAAACCGGTCAATCTGGGCCTGTGGGATACAGCTGGTCAAGAGGACTATGACAGACTACGCCCGCTCTCCTACCCCCAAACAGTAAGTACTGTGTGAAGACTAAGAAGGTGGACAGCTTGAAGCTGTTCTGGAGATGTTACATCTGGAGCTGTATTTCTTACAACTTTATTAAGGTACTTGTTGCACGTAGGCTGAAGGATGGTAGCAAGAATCTTTGTGTGTACAACTGTATAAATGTTGAAATTTACACTCTTGGGTGTTTGTGTACATTGATGCATGTTGGCTTATTGTAGTTGCAGTCTCAGAATTAACCAGAATTCTTGATTAAAAGAGGGGAACAAAAGGGGGGCGGGGGGAGGAACAACAACAAAAAAACCTGAGTGAGTAGAGTGGTCCCATCAGTGAGCCATCGATACTAAAGTTAGCATGGCTGCCAAAAGTGGGGCTTGTTTTGTTTTCAGGCATGATGCAACCTGACACTGTCACTGCTAAGCACTTGATGATGTTTAGCCTCTGTGCAGATGCACTAAATGTGAAAGAGGCAGTCCTGAATGGAGATCTTATGGTACAGACAGAGGCTGGGTTGTGGTTTTCAAATCTACTTAACCCCATGGCTACTTTCTTACTTACTGCAGTTCCTGCTGTAACATCGATACAAACGTGTTTCTGTTTGCAGTGCTTGCAACTGCAACTGCAACTGGTTAAATCCTGTCTGAGCGCTGTTCTTCTTTTTACAAAGAAAATGCTGAAGTAATCTGCTCTTTCTTTCCAGTGTGACTTCAGCTGCAGTTGGTCTTTGCAGAGGTCGCTTTTCTGGTCAGATTAGAGCAGTTATGTTCATCTGGTGCTGGCATCCTTTCAGTAAAGAAAGGGGGTAACTTGTAGGTGTTATCAGCATTGATTACTGCTGTTGTCAACTATCATTGACAGTTAACAATTCAGTGTTAATAACGTTAAATGCAGATTTGTTCTAGTTATTCTACAGCATAACTGCTCCTCTGAATAATGAGAATCTTATTTAATGAACTCTGGAATTCTTTTTTTAGTAAGCTTGTATTAATTCACAGTTTTCCTTAATTCACTGCTCGCTAACTCATAAATGTAGGCTTTCCCTTTGGCACCAAGATGGATGTGAGCTGCCAGCTGTAGGCACTTCTGACTGAAATGTTAGAACTGTCTGGCTTTCCTCATTAGAGAATAATTGGGAAATTTCACTAAAATATATCTAATTTTGGATACTTAGAAGAACTTCAGGTTTGCTTAAAACCTTCAATCAGAAAGTATTGCAGGGTAGAAAAAAAGTGTCTTGAAAGATCACTCAGCAGTGTGGAAGAGCTGATGGCAAAGGAGGATGTTGTTCCTCCCCGGGCCACGCGTGTTGTCAGCCTGCTGAAATAACTGTGGCTTTCTAACAGTCTGCAAAAGAATTTCATGCCATCTAAACATTCTTTTTGGAAATCTCTTCTGTACATGCACACTAAACTGATAAACAAAGGTCTGCAATGCTGTCACTACCCAGCTTGTATGCTTTTCTACAGCAAAAAGTGGAAAGAGTGTTTAGGTCTTGAACTTCTCATGACGAAGTCCTCAGCTCTTGCAGCTGTGCAGTGAGGCAATGCTCAGCAGCACTTAAAGGCCAAAGCCCACACAACTCTCATTTAAAACAAACAAGCAACAGAGATGGCTAACCTTGGTTCTTTTCAAGAGAAGAAAGCAAAAGGCAATGAATTTTTGTATGGTGTTTGCTCTTCCAAGTCACAGCTGAGTGTGCAGACCGACACAGGTGTATGGGGAAGCCTGGCAGCCAGGTTTGGGTGCAGGCTGTGCTGAATTACAGAGCAGAGACAGAAAGGCACGTTGTAAATAGCTGTGAGCACCAATCGCTGGTGAAGAGAACAGTTCCCTGACATCATTTTAGGAGTAACGCTGTCTCGTACTGTTATTAGGTTGGAGGAACCAATGGTAAGAATCTATCTTCCAGCCTGACAGATCAACCTATTGCCGTATGTAACTCCACAAGTAAACTTCAGTTCCAAGTTCTGTCATCTCGTCTTGCTTACGACAGTGATAAATTGGCCCCTATTTTTTTAACAAACTACTTCTCTTGGAACTAATTTGCAGATCTGAGAACTCCATTACTGCATCTCTTTACAGCTTGCTAAGACTAAAGCACTTCTCACAAATAAAAAGCACTTGTTCCTGTTTATTAAGATTGGTAGCATGCGAGACACCTGAAATTTTGAAATAAGTCCTCAGGGTCACAATAATGTTTGATCTGTGGAGATAGTAAAGGAGAGAGTCTGCATAGTGTGCAGAGCTTCAATAACCACAAACTTGCAGAATTGGAAAACAGAAGTAGTGGCCATAGTATCACGTTACTTGATGTTTCTTTCTTTTTCTGGGTTGCTGCTCTGGAAACTTGTGGGGGAGATGCATGAACAACTGGGTTGCAAGTGCTTAGCAATGCAGATGTTAGATGCTGACCTAACAAAAAATACCTTGAAATGCAGTGCAATCAACTAACATTCTGAAATTCCTAATTCTTTAGCATGTCTGATGCTGGAGTAAGTAAGTATGGGTGCAGAGGAAGGCTGGAGAAAGTTGGGCCTGTTTGAGATGTGTTTATTGAATTTGGGGTCATACAGCAGAACTGCCCTCATCTAGTTGCATAGAGTGAGTTTGTGTGGTTATTTGGAGTGCTTGTAGGTGACTGTAATGGACTTTGTTGCCTTTTGTTTTCTTAATATACTGTACAGCAGTTAGCAGAGACATCTGCCATGTGATAATTTCACACCATCTTATTTATCATCTTTGCTTTCAAGTAAAAGCCAAGATGCTTAAGTTCCCTAAAAGGAGCCCACTTTTCTGTCTATGCTTCCTCATGGTTTGGAAATGGAAGAGAAGAGGTAGTGTGATGTGAGATTTTAAATACCCTTCTCAATGCTAGTTTTGTTACATAGAAGTCCTGAAAAGTTTTAGATAGAATCGACAGTAGTAACAGATTCTTCTGCCTTTAGCATGGGAGTAACTGCTGTGGAAGCTGATGTTGTGATTTTGCTTGTTCACTCACAGCAATACACTGCCTTTGCAGTTTGAGATTACTTTGGAGTACATCAATAGTATATTCTTTTTCAGAAATTGGTGCTGCTGGTAATGCTTCATAACAACCTATGCTGAGAAGTTAGATGTCTTTTAAGGATTAAATTGCTTAGAGGTCAGTAAGAGCAGCCATCCCCAGCTCAGAAGACAGCCTCTTGCCTCTCTGCTGCGGTGTTTGTGGGGAAGCTCAAGTGTTTCTAAATGAAAGTAAGAGAGAAGGAACATTCAGGGCAATAAACCTGCAGTGCAGTGATGTTAGTTTGGTTGTTGGCTACTGCAATAGCTGATTATAAACTTGATTACAATCTAAGTGTTTCCCTCCCCACGTACCTCTTTGCCTCTGCTTGTAGCAGTCTGGGAATGGATTTCCACAGGGAAGCTGCCTCTGATTGTTGCATCCAGCTGTGTCCGACCTCTCCTTGCAAGTTGTGGTACAGATGGTGGGGGTGCTCCTCTCTTCACAGTGATGCAGTTTTTCCACAGGTTGATCTGCCGAGCTGACTTCTGTCCGCTTTGTTTTTTAGGATGTCTTCTTAATCTGCTTTTCCCTTGTGAGTCCTGCTTCCTTTGAAAATGTCCGTGCTAAGGTAAATACAAGCTGGCATTATTTCATTTAAATGTATTGTTGATTTTACAGTGGTTTGAAGGAAAAACAAGTGCATGTAGCAGTTAGGCTGGGAGCAAGTTAGGCTGTTCTGTCAGTCGGTCACCGTTCAGGTACCTGCTCTGCTGCTGTTACATTGCTTCGTGTCCTTTGGACATCTGAGCCTACGGCACTTGGTCACAAAGGAGAGGTGGTTGCCATGGGTGGGGGAAATGCAGATCGATGTTTTTCCAGCGCGGAGAAAAGATACAGCCTTAATGGGATCATTTCTAAGTATATGGAAATACCTGTTGGAATGAATAAAGAATTGTTTTGCAATTGTATGCTTTTTTTTTTTTTTTTAATTCCGTCTTGAAGAGCTCTTATGTTCTCCCCTTTTGTTCTTTAACACCTGAAAGTGTCACGAAAGGCTCTGAGCTTCACAGTTGTAATGTTTGAGAACCTGCACACTGACACTGTTACTGCTTTCTGTGCAGTGGTATCCTGAGGTGCGGCACCACTGCCCCAACACTCCCATCATTTTAGTGGGTACCAAACTTGATCTCAGAGATGATAAAGACACTATTGAAAAACTGAAGGAGAAGAAGCTGACTCCTATCACCTACCCACAGGGCCTTGCCATGGCAAAAGAGATAGGTATGGCTGCAACGGGTTACCGGGGGCTTGGGTCTAACTTTTGTTTGTGGAAGCTACTGCAGCGTAATTAACAGAAACGCCAGGCTTTTGTTGTGGAGTTCACTGCAGAAGCAGTGCTTTCTGTAACTGTGGAGAAGTGCTTTGTAATTGCCCCCTTGCTTCCCACAGGTGCAGTGAAATACCTAGAATGCTCAGCACTTACACAGCGAGGCCTCAAGACAGTGTTTGACGAAGCTATCCGAGCGGTTCTGTGCCCCCCGCCTGTAAAGAAGAGGAAGAGAAAATGTCTGCTGCTGTAAAGTCACCCTCCCCCACCCCTCCAAACCCTGTGCTTTGCTCGGAACAATGGAGCATTCACATTCAATGCCAAGTTTGTCTATTATAAATTAGTTCTCTTCCATAAATTTTTGAACCAATCAATAATTCCACGGTTTCATTTGTTTGAAGTATAAAAGTTCCTTTTCATTCTACTAAAAGCAAAATCCTAAAAGACAAACCTATATAAAGCCTTATTTTTAAAATCTTATTCTTGCTCAATTACTTAAGCGTTGCCAAACTATCTGCTGAACTAAGTTGTATTGTGCTAGGAACAAACACTAAGCACTAAACTGTTTTTTAAAGATTCTTCTTGAAGATGACTCTAATTTCTGTTAGGAAATGCAAAAACACTTTCTAGTTTTTCACAGTGACAGTACCATAAAATTAGCAAAACACTGCAGTCCAACATTTTGTTATTAAATCTTTTCTCAACCCAGGGTCATTGCATAGCATTGTATAGTGAACCCAAGTCACTGACAGTGACTGACAAGTCACAGTGTAAAATGCTTTATCGTCGGTAAGGGCTTGGTTGCAATCTAGTTCTTGCTGCTGTGATTTCAAAAACAAAAACTGTTCTTACTGAAGTATATTTAGTCCTTTTGACAGCATTGTGTCGTGATGAAACAGTGGCTTGGATCAACTGATAGTGCCAGACAGTATTTTGACACTGTACAGATCAATTTACACTACACTGCCAGAGTAGTTGAAATTGAGTCAACTCTAGTTAAGGTTAAAATTGGTGACTGCTTCCCCAGGTGTGCAGTAGTGGAAGAGAGGTTGGTGTTCATAGGTAAATTCCTTTGACGTTCACTTAGGGCATTCATTTAGCTAGTTTTGAACAGTCATTCCCACACCTTGTGTAGTAAATGCTTTTCTTGTAGAATCTCTTCTTACTGAGCAATAGAGCTTGTATTTTAAAACCTTTCTGATGATAGATTTTTTTTTTTAGTTAAGTAGAATGATCAAGCATAGCCTTCTTCTGTTTCTGTTATTCCCAACCCAGTAAGTTAAGCTTTCTGAGGAGCTTTTAGTCTATTAACTAGGTGTACAAATCCTGTGAAGCAGCTTTACACATCCTAGCAATTTTTATATTTTAGACCTCTATAATCTATGAACCTTCTCAGATGTCACTATTTGCCAGATGTCCCCAACACTGTAACATTACTAATGCAGACAAGTGTTCTTTGTCACCTCCATGTCCATGTGCAGCATAGATTGAGTAATGGTAACTTGGGTCTGTGAGGTTCTGTAAACTAGTGCTAATGTTCTGTACATCCTCAGCTGGCAGGAATACAGTGTTGAACTACACCCTTTCGACCATGAAAGCAAAACTTAAAAGTTGCAAAATTGTGAAGTTTTTACATTGATCTTTTGCTAATGCAATTAGCAGTATGTTTTGCATGTATGACTTAATAAATCCTTGAATCACATGTGGTAGTGTTGAGTTTTTGGGCAAGCTTTCTCACGCTTGTAGCACTGTGCACAAGCAGCAACTTGGGCTGTGTGTGTCCTCAGTCTATTTGTGCTGAATAGCCACAGGCACTTTCAGTGATGCTCCGATGTTACAAACCAGAATTAAATGCAGTACTTACCCCTGCTTCTTCAGCCCTGCACCATCATTTGAGTTGCTATTTGTCCCACAGCGTTTTAAAGATTGTGAGAACCAGGGGAAAAATGCACACAACAGAAGTTATTCAGCTTACTATATGCAAACAGAAGTTGGTTTTTTTTGTCCTCTTGGTACTTGGGGTGTTTCTGAAAGCTTGTAAAAGGGCGGCCCCATCCCAGCGAGCTGTTAAGGCTCTTGGAGTTCAGCCATTTGCCTTTACCTGCAGTCACACGCCCGCCTTCGTGCCTGGGTGCTCCAGCTCAGCAAGGAAGGAAGCGGCAGCCCTGCCCAGCAGGGGGAACTCAGCTCACTGCACAACCAGTTATCAACCATTACTTTTTGTCTCACGCCCAGAAGACGCGAAGATAAGGAAACAAGTTCTTTACAGCGTGTTTTTATTTTTTCTTCCTCATTAAGTATCACAGCAAAACACCACAGGGCTGTTCTTAACCATGTCATATGGTTACTTATTTCTTGCAATTTCTTTTGATAAGAAAGAAATGTTCTTGACTTAAACAAAAAGTTGTTCAAGTACTTACACACTAGAAACAAGCCACACTCTTAAAACCAGTTTCACTGTACAAATATATATTTTTTGCAGAATTACAAATTGCTGTTTTCATTAGAGCTAGTGACTACCAGGATGAAGGTGAAGCATGAATAATTGTTTTTCCTCATTAAGTAGTTGAAGTATTGGATCAGTTTAAAATTAATTAAAAGTAGTCCTGTTGGTCAACAAATACAAAAGCCAGGTAGATTAAGAATATTGCACATGTAAACCCAAGCAGCACTTACACGTGACTCCCACCACCTCCAACAGGGATGCTACACACCCTTAAAGATAAAACAGTGCAACCAGAACTGCCTGATTAAAAACAAAACAAAAAATGACACAATAGTAGGGCCTGCCTTCACACACCCACGTGCCAGGCTGCCCTGACCACAAGCAGTCCCTCACTCACCTCCTGCTGCTCAGCTGCAGCCAACTTTTGCACTGCAGCACTGCTTTCTTCACAGCACCTTTAACAGGCAGCCTGTGCTCCGCAGCAGCAGGGTGCAGGACACCCGTGAGCAGTGGAACGAAGTGACTTGAAGGCAGAACTGGATTCTTTTTTTACCTGCCTCACAGGGCTCTGTGCTGACAAGCTGGCCTCACCTCAGTCAAGCGTTCAGTTGAAGGCTCAGCTCTCTGGTGACAGCTTACAGCAGCTTGGATGGCACTTGTATACTGTTCCACTTTTGGAAAAGCTCAAGCTTCAGCATCAGTGCAGAATATGTGCTTCACCCATTATAATGTTGCTTGAGATCACTGCAGAGACAAGGGCACCAAAACCTCTTGTTTGTTACGCACAAGATGAGAAAAGTACTGGAATCCACTCTATGAAAGTAGAATGTATCCTGAATACCTCAAAGCTGCATTTTTCATTTTTGTTTAAAGCAATTCTCTCTTCTGAGCTACGTACCACACTCTATTCCATTATTTTGCTTGACAAGACATACAAGATCTATGTTCTTGAGACAAACTGTTGAGAGCGTTGAGCACAACATCAGGCATGTGGTCTGTTATCATCTTGGGACTAATTAAAATGCTGCTGAAGACTGTTTCATTTGACCAGTTTGCAGAGTATTTAATGTCTGAAGAGCACAACCTAAAAAACACAAACACAAAGACTCCATACAACATGGAGCTGCCGCAGTCGGGGAAGTGGGGAGGGCTGCTTCCAAGGAGCTCTTGTGCAGCCCTCAGCTGGCAGATGGAAATGCTGCCACTGAAAGACCCCCAGGGCAGAGCTACACCAAACTACATGGTTTCCATAACCCTGCTCACAAAGCAGAGGATGTTGTTCAAGCAAAGGGGGAGGACAAACAATGCAATTCATGTGAGTACATCACAGTGCTTGCAGGAGGAGGCTGGACGCTGGTTATAATGCTGCATGTACCATGTGTAGGATTTTTGTTTTATAGAACAGTACATGACGGAATAGAGGGTTTTCTATGGTAGTCTAATTAAGGAAAACAAATATTAACTGCTGTGCTTTGGAGTAAATGGAGAAAAGTGAACTCACTAAAGTACAGTAGAATAACAGCCATCAAGAAAACCTTCAGGGTCTCAAGTGCTGAAGTGTCTAATTTCTAAAACCATTATTCAAATCTTTAAATACTATAGACAATGTCAAGCTTAAATAAAATACTTACTGATCTACTGAATGGGAGGGAAAAAAAATAAGAATTCTCTCTCTCTTTCCATCTTTCTTTTACTATCTGTTATAAATCAGAGATCTTTTTTCCAGTCTGTAGATGATCTTGTGCTTCACAGATGCTCTTATTTCTATTTGTGAATGAAACAAGGGATGGCACAACGTATTTGTCTACCCTGAGGGGTATTACAGCCTTGTATGAAAAACAAAAACCACCGAAACTCCCACAAAACAAAACACCAACACAACACCCTTCTCCTCAACACAACCAGACTCCACGCTCCTCCAGCACTTCAAGCTTGTAGCAAGCAAGGGGCAGGAATCTAGAGGCTGACCAAATGGTGCAAATGGACCTTCCCTGCTGGGCAGGTACTACAGGCAGCACCTACACAGCCCTGCTGTCAGCTTCACCACTACCAGAATGTGAGACGGCAGCATCAGCAGTGCTGTCTGTGCAGGAGCTGCATCACGCCAGAGCTAAACCTAGCATCTTCACACCAGCATGGGCACACACTGACAAACAGAGCTGCAGAAAGGGAGGTGCGGAAGAAGGAAAGAAAAAAAAACAAACACACCACAAAAACCAGACATTTTGTAGTAATCAGTGCATTGGAGATGGAGATGAGAAGCAGAACTAGAAACATACTGTGAAAGCGAGAAGCAGCTTGAAATAGACTTTAGGAAGACAGGATAGTTGTATTTATGATTCTGCTTACCTCCTAGAGCTGGATTCTTCTACAATATGGATAATCTTCCCAGGAAGGTACAGACGAGGGTACTGCGGCGGAGAATTGAAGTGCGATTCTGCGCCGAGGGCACTGTATGAAGGAGAGCGATGCACCATTAAGCTTTCCTCCGCTAGAAGGGGCTGCGTCAGGGCATCGTCGTTCCTCCCATCCAGCTCAGTTGGGAAGTTATCTGGATCTCCTCCAAATACTTCGTACCAACAGCCACGCAACAAAATCTGGTACTGAATGCAGAAAGAAAAACAGCTGAACTGAAGCACAGCATCTTTTCAAGTGACTGATCCTGGTTGCGTGCTTTGCACACACTTCACCTGAAACTACAGATGAGAGATTAAAAATGCCTGATGCACACACTTGTCAAAAGTTTCCTTTGATAATACCTGCTTATTGAATTTTCCCAACAGCAGCACATTATTTCACCAACACTGACCCAATCCAATAGGAACACTAAGGAAAACATTAATATTTTATCTAGGTGAATTGTTCTGTGGATTATACTGTACATTTAACTTCATTGCACCTACAACTTATAACTGCTGCCATCTAGGATGTCATCCAGACTCTCTGCATGACTCTTATTCCAGGAACTGCAATGAAATCCTGTGAGCACTACAGATTTAACTGCAGGTAGTAAGAGGTGGCCGCTTACAATCTTTAAAACCACTGTGTTCCAAAAATCCATGCAACTCCCATCATTAAAAGCAAAAAAACCATACTCCCTATGTCAGTGCATTAAAGCCAGGGCTTAACTCAGCAAACAATTCCACTGACTTCTAACCACAAACTGCATTTAGTTACCTTGGGTCTGTTGCAGTTTGCCACAATTCTCACTATTCTTCTCTTTAAGTCCTCCATGTTGGGCATGCTTAACCTGTTCAAACACGTACAGAATCAGAAGAGCCTCCTATTTTATGAAATCTAACTTATAAATTAAAAAAAAAAATTAAAAGCATTTCCATCTCACCTTGCAACAAGGTCCTTTCCAAGAATGACCGAAACAATGAAGCGTTTAGAGTACTCTGCAAGCGTTTTGCTTAAAGAAAAGACAAGCTTTAGATACACAATTCAGTTTTACTGTGATCATTACCATTCAGTAATAACACAGGTATGTAGCAGGAACAACTGCAGCTCTTGCACTCAGTTCTGCAGCAGGACTCCAGGGGACAGAGCCATGCTGCTTCTCACTGCGTGCAGCTGTTTCTCTGGCTGAGGCAGCCTGGTCAGGGGAGTCATTTAGTTCTGAAGCCTTTACACATTCCCTAAGGAACCCAACTGTAACTCCAGGTGGAGCGAATCCAATTCTAGTGGAGAATGCATAAACAAACTTAATACAGCCAAGCAAAATTATTTAGCATACAAAGGATGCTCCAAAACTAACACCTCTTGTTTACTTCCACGGAACCTACGAAAGACACAGGGCACATAACACTATTGGAGAAAGCAAACTTGCAGCTATCAAATGCTACTTTTCAACCACTATCAGCTGTGCATTTTTACCAATGACAAACAACAGCCTGCATATTGTGCTCCTAAAAATCCACACCAGTGGAGGTGACCCACTGTCACCACTGCTGAAATGCACCACCAGCACCTCACTGCGCTGCACCCAACACTTGGTCTCCACAAACATTCTGCAAGCGTTGCTGAATATCCATGTGTGCCACTTTTTCCACATGGAGGAATTCAATGACAACCCTTTGCTTCATCCACCCTTCCACGTCAGATGCCGTTGTGTCAGAGTGCCCCTCTGCTGCTGCCCATCACACAGCAACACCATGTAAAGGGATGTTGGTGGGAAGGTTCAACCTCTGCTGCCATCCCACCAACAGCTGCCTCTGACACTGTGGGCCAACATAATAAAATCCGAGGCATTACTTTCAGAGCAGCCATCATCTTTGTCAACTGTCATCAAGTGTTTTACACTTAGAGAATCAAGAAACAGAAGTCTCATACTCACCTTAGAAGTCCTCCTGGAGGAGAAAAGGCGTAACATTTTAATGTTGGGAAGGAGTTCCTGAGCATGATCGCCAATACAGAAGCTGTTCCACCACCCAAACTGTGACCAACTATCACAAGCTTGTATTCCTACAGACAGAAAGACAAGACTGAAACACAGAAAAAGATGCACAACTTCTCTGACAAACCAAATTGCTGGAAGGCGACTTACTGGAGCAATTGTGAAAGCCTGGTTTAAAATTCCATCATTTATTAGCTTTTGATAGATGTAATTTGCAGCCTGAGTTATTCCCTGCAAGACAACAGTTTAAGTTAGAAGACAAAGGTATTATCTAATCTGAAGAGGCAGATGCTTAATTAAAATTAACACCAACACAAAAAAACTCTTCTTGAAAACCAGTACCCTCTTTTAGCATGCTCCTGACAGAGCATTCCATAACCAAGTGGTCTCATACAAAATGCTTAGAAAGCTTTCCCACTATTTAGTAAGGACATGAAGTCAGACAACAGGTGCACAAACTGCCAGGATGTATGTGATGCAACAACCAAGCCACTGAGACCATTTGTGCAATCTGTGTCATAAGAATAATCATCCAGTTTAAAGGATCCCAAGAATTAAGTTAGTTTTTTACTGCATGAGATGAACAGCCACAGCCTGCACGCACCTTATGCACGAAGCCATTCTCCAGAACATCTTCCAGGGTCAGGTCTTCACAGTCTGCTGACAGATCAGTGAGAATGTCCTGCAAACAAGAGCTTTAATCAGATCTCTCTGCAAGGTTTCATGGCTCACATTCTACTACTTATCAGATACTGGATATTAGGAAGAATTCTTCTCAGACATGGGCACAGGCTGCACAGGGAAGTAGACTCAGACCCTGAAGGTGTTTAAGAAAAGGGTGGATGTGGTGCGTAGGGATGTGGCTTAGTTGGCAATACTGGTGTAGGTGGACAGTTGGACAAAATGATCTTAGAGGTCTTTTCCAACCTTATTTATTCTACAATTCACATTCTCACAGGGACAATCACCAAGTCTGTAAGCAGCTAAATACAGCCGACCACAAAACACCACCCAAACAAACACATACAACAATCAGAGTTATGATTTCAGCAACTAATTCCAAGCTGCAAACACATTACAAGTACACAAGTCACAGTACCAAAGAATTACCACCATCTTCCCCCTACACTCTGTTCCAGAAGCAAAGGGAATAATGCCCATCCGAGGACAGGAGGGCTTATAGCTTATGACCCTGAAGGGACTCGTACCCACAAGTTGTTCTTAAATGCAATGCACCTGTGTAACACCTTTTCCTCTAGATACCATGAGTTCATCCATATCTATAAAGCCAATTGCACAAATTAGAAAGACAATACCTCAAAAGACAACGTTCCTCTCACTGCAACCACAATAGCTTCTTTTTTGTGATCCAAAGCAACAAAAAATGGAATCTCGTAGATCTACAGAGGAAAAAAATATATTCAGTAAAGACATCAGCTTCTCAGAAAGCTAAGCATTTGTTTTCACCTTCTGAAAGCCCTCCTACTGAATTTCTTGTACTGCGGACAGAAGCTGAACTATTAAGTTATTATAAGCGCCCTCATAGCAATGCTGAGATTTATGTCAATGGCTGTGTGGTTGTTCTTTAAGAATGAAAAAAAAAATCAGAACTGAAAAACATGTTTCAGGGCCTGTTTTCACTTGCCTTTGTATTTTCCATTTTATGAATGCTGAAGGCAATCTAGAAACTTCACCTTCTTTCACTGACTCAATCACAGTTCTGCTCACAAAACAGCAAAACTGCTTCTGGCATGTTCTTGGCAACACCAGGTGAAGTATGTGCAGGTAGGCTGATGGCCATATACAAGAACTGAACTCACCCAGCTGGCGAAGGGGATCTCTGGCTCCATAGCACTCACTCCCAGGAAGCAGCCTAAGGCCGAGATGCCCCCCCCTCAGTGCCCAGCCCTTATCAAGCCTGGAGGGGCTCCACCCCTTCTGGTCACCTGGGGAGCACAGGTGCAAGCAATCCCCTGTGCTTCCTGGGCAGCCACAGCCTTTCCCCAGGGGCTCAATCACAGTTGAAGCTGTGACCTAACAGCTCCCCTATCAACAGTATGGCTTTCTTGCTCAATGCCTGTTTAGATTGCTTACCTTGTTGTGAAAACTGATATGAATGAAGTCTCTGTACTGCAGTCCTGTTATTCTTAGGATAGATCCAAAGTGAAAGTTGCGACGATCACTTCCAGTTATATCAGAATCTTCTGGTCTACTTCTGCAACTAACAAACACAGAAGAGAAAAGCTTTCACGTTTAAATTTTTCAAGTTTCCTTTTGGGAATCAAACTCAATTACATCTGCACAACGATTTCTGCCAGGAATCAAAAGCTCCTCTAATCTTCCCCACCTTCTCCCCCCAGCACTACTATTAGTATGAATGAAATGCTATCCCTGCCTGAGCAGCACTTCCACTCACAGGACCAGGAGCACCACTGCTCCAGGACTATCACCACTGCACACAAGCCAGTAAGAAAAGAATTAAAACTGAACTCCAATGACAAAAAATAGAAACAAGCAAAAGTACATTTAAAACAAATTCTCTACAGCAGACTTATCTGATGTTTTATGCATTGCATTGCGTGATTTCCAAGTCATTTATATTTCAGAAGGTTAATTATTAAGAAAATTGTAGTTAGAGCTGCAAATCTCCGAGGTCACAGATACACAGTAATGGCACACAGCAGGATGCACACGTCAGCACTGACTGTGACAGACTTAGAGGGCAAACAGAATGAAATGGATGCTGGAGTTGCAGGTTACTTTTTCTAATTCCTCTTCAGAGCTCCAAAACAGCTGATGCTCTTAGTTCCACATGTATCTGCCCAAATGGGAGCTCCGTAAAGCCTCGTTGTAAAACATTACCTAATTCCAATTCTTTGATTTAACTCCAATCACCACCAATTCCTTTGTCATTTTGCTAACTGAATTTTATCTCAATCACAAACCATTCTTAAGAAACAAATGCTGACTCGTTTCTGAGTGTGAAGACATGCTGCCATTTTGCCTCCACTTAATTTAGGGAAGCTTATCTACACCCATGAGTAATATAATTTAATGTCACAAAACTAGTGCTATTGAAGACATTTCATTTCTGCAAACAAGAGTGAATTAAGCAGAAGCTGTGTGTTTTTAAGCTCTTGATTCAACCTACCAGTCACCGTTGAGCTTACAGAGCGCAGTGAATGGGTTGGTGTATATGTAGTAGGGCCAGCCATAGGCAGCTGCAGCAAACAGCATGTAGTGAGCAGCGTGCTCCAGTTCAACATCCAAGTCATCAGCCTGCAAGGACATGGGGAAAGAAGAGGAAGGAGGGAGAGAAAGAAAGGTGTGTTAAGCAACCCCAGAATAAAGCCCAAACACAAACTACTGAAAATTAAGGCACTATCTAAACAGAAAACCTCAGGATCTAAAAGAAAATAAAGGCAGCCACTCCTATTCCAGGAAAACAGCATTTCTGTAGCTACAGAATAATCTTGAAAATCTCTCATTAAATTATATTCTTCCAATACATACTGATTAGCTCAAAGGAATGGCTAAAGAGTCTGCAGCAGATATCCCCATCAGGGGCATTTTAAGAATGACTCCACACTGCCCAGGTTCAAAAGGAATTTGATAGAATGATTTGAAATGGAATTACACTTGTGTGTAACACAGGCCCAAATTAGACAGAACAATTTCTAAAGGTGTTCTAGCACGGAAAAATCAATTAACAAACCATAACCCATCACCTGTAAGTATGTAAAAAATGTCTGTTTTCATCTTATTTTGTCTGGGTATACGTACAAAACATAGATTACACACACAGTGCTAGAAGACCAGCTTTTCAGTTCTTCACAAACAGTATTAAATATATTCTTCTATTCATTTTCTCTCACATCTCTTCAAAAATGAACAACTGTCCAAAATTATTCCTTTTTGTGCTTAATTGCCCTTATTGATAAATTTAATGAAACAGAAGCACTGCTGGTATCAGTGAATACACGCTGAGAACTGGTACGTGCGAAGAGCAGAGATGGCCAACACCTCCTTGCCAGTTAAATATCATCAGGACATAAATTAGGTACCCTTGAAAATACTGACTTGCAGACACATTGCAGTATTTTCACCTTCACTGTGCTCATTAACAATTCAAACAGAAAATTTTTACTGTGGTGTTTAATTTTGTAAAAGCAAACAAAATCCAAATATCCGCACAAGGAACTTCATTTCCATTTGCTCTGCCACCACCTCCTGGAGTAGCTGCACCAGACTCTAACACAGCCCCGTCTTACCGCAAGAGACGAGGGGGAGTGACAGAGGACTTCTTCTGGCTCTTTCGGGCAGCTTTCCATTTTATCTTGCTCTTGATGGAGCAGAATCAAACCAGCTGCTATGTCACTCGGCACCAGATCTGTGTCCTGTTACAAAGAGATGAAGGAGCTCCTAAAGCTATCCCACAACTCACCACATCAGAGCTATCTCATAAGAATACACACATGGCAATATATTTTTTTCAGTGTATCTAATTGCATTTACCTCGGAGACAGTGGGATCAGAGAAGATGGCTGCACCAGCACCTAACCACCTTCTTCTCCCCACTGTTTGTACGCACTGAATGTTTTGTTACAAGACTCATCTTTAAGTTTCAAGTCAGCATATTCAGAACCTGATTTCAAGCAGGGACCTCTGGCTGAACACAGTTATGCATTCTGCAACATCTGGAAACTCAGAGTTAGTCAAGAACAAAACCAAAAGAAGCTTTTCATCTTACTGAGAAGTAGGCGCGGAAGAGCTCTGCAATGCTTGTGAAAGCCACCCGATGGTCATCGTCCTGCACAATACAGCAGCACATCAACCGGATTCTTTTCTCCCAGACCCTGGTAGCAGTGCTCTTCACATTGTACAGCAGCTGCCCCGACTGGCTGCTTTCCAGGTTCCGATCTAAACCATCAGTGAGGTAAAATGTCTTTTTCCCCCCGAGTGGATCAAAGACAATTAGCACTCCGATGATGGTAAAGACAATGATAACCCAGCTGCAAAACAGAAGGGAGCAGGCTGAAACCAGGCATTTCTGACACACGTGTGAGAGAAGACAACTGCAGGTCTTGAGAGACAGAAAGCAAAGTAAGACATGAAACATCATAAAACAGTATCTGTTACTGACATAATGGTGCACGTTCTGTTATCAAGCCTACACAAAGAAAACCCTTCTAAAAGAAACCAAAATAATTTATTAGCAATAGCAAAGCTGGAAATGTCTTTGCTGGACACGTGCAGAGCAAATGTGAGTGTTATGCTCTCACACGTGCACTACCAAGCTCAGATTTGTGTGCGTGTGGCAGAGGGTGGAGCACTTTACCTTGCAACAACTGTCCCAAGGATGACGTTTATCACAGTGCTGTCGCAGCGCACGCTGCTGTCTGACACCCACACAGCTCCTACAACGGCCCAGATAAACTCAGGCAAGTAGAGAAGTAGGCGAGTATAAAGTAGTTTGGGAAGTGACTTTCTTGGGCCTGGGTTAGAAATTGTTCCTGAAATAATGAGAATTTTTATGAACATATCTCAGGTACGTAAAATCCTACATAAATAAATACACGAACTTTCTGAGCTCTATGGAAAATAAGAAGCTTAAATGAAAATATAAATGATTCCAAAGTAACGGAAAGCTATCACTGAAGCTGAGAAAATAAAAAGAGGATTCTTACCACCTACTTCTCTAACACTTAAAAATCACCCTCTGGTCAGAGACAGTTCTGCAGCGAACGCGAGGCAGCAGTGCTGGACCCACCAGAGCCAAAGATACATTACCACATAACTGCCAGTGCCAGCTTCTATTATGACTCTGCACAGCTTTTATTTGGCTGAATATTGAAATCTGAGACACTCCTTTGGTGAGCCACATGCAATGAGGCTCTGCTCCCTCATTTCAGGCACTATAAAATAAACAAATTCACGTAACCAGAATGTGAATATACGACCAGTTGTAGACCAAATATTTCTTAGACTATTTTCTGTATTGTTAGCTAATAATAACCTTTTCCTTGTAGCACCCTTAGGCAATAAAAAAACAATTAATTTTTGGCTGGCTCAGCTCCTTAAACCAGTTTGCTGATGACAAGATAACACAGGCAGTGTGTGCGTACTCATGTGTAGGCAGCAGAATTTGTAAACATTTAAAACACTGCAGAATGAAAATGACTTTTGAAACTATTCTCCAGCTGCAAAGCTGCACTTCACCTCCAGTAACAAAGCTGTCAGAAGAGTCCCAGACCCAACAGCTGTGATTCCCGCTCCTGTTTTGCACACTGCCCTGCAGCAGCACAGCTGATTGCATGCGCACAATCAGATAAAAACTGTGGTGTCTGGAAACGATGACTTCCAAGTGCTGGTGCAAGAACCACTGCCGCCAAACCCCACACATTATAACCACAATTCTGAACATTTCACTAGCAATTCCACTGGAGATTCAGACTCAGGATTATTCCACTTTATAATGGTCCTGTTACTTCACTTTTACACTGAATAAGGAAGGTTCTTTTCTCCGTGCTATTGACACTTATCACTCCACTACCTGAACTTTGATACCTAAAACCAGCATAACGTGGCTAATAATTCCTTCCACTGCTCGGGAAACTGTAGGAGAACCAGCAGTGAGACTCAAGTTCAATGCTATCATTCACACCTCAGCTCTGTGAGTTTCTCTTCATGCTTCTTTCCACCTAAATAATTTAAATACTGTTCTAATTACGGAGTGTTGTGAGAACCAATATACTAGAAATTGCAGTCTCCTGCGTTATTCCAGAGACCACGTGCAGATTTCAGATTGCTTTGGTAGTGAGATGCTTCGCCAGGAAAAAATAGAAAGTAACGATTTCCTGGCATTTTTAAAGCGAAAACGAAGCATTTCTACACGTGGCAACTCCAGAATAACAGAACGCGCACCGATTCCAACCGCCGAGACGCGCAGAGCTCCGGGTCAGCCCGAACCTCGTACCTTGCATGCTGACGTACACGAGGGCGGACAGCGTGCAGATGATGGCGGCCAGCAGGGCCAGCAGCACCAGCAGGTAGCCGTGCAGCAGCGCTCCTCCCGGGCAGCCGAACCGCCCCTTGTGCACGGCGTACAGCGCCAGGATGCCGACCCACCTGCAGGAAGCGGACAGCGAACGTGGGCGGGAGAACGGCCCAGACCCGCGGCACCGACCTGTGCGGAAACCGAACCGCGCCGCTCCGCGATGCGAGAGAAGCGAACGGCGGCGGCCCGGCGCGCTCAGCAGGCCCGGAGCGCCGAGCTGCCGCTCGCACAATCGCGGCGACGCACCGCGGTGCCGTGAAGAAAACCGCCGGGCGCGCGGAGCCGCGGGACGGCCCGGCCCTCACCACAGCAGCCTCAGGAACAGCTCGAAGGCCCCAGGGAGAACGAAGTCGTCGCTGCCGATGGCCCAGCGCCTCCCGAACGCCACCAGCCCCGGCATGCCGCGCACCCGGGCGCCGCCGCTCCGCCGCGGGCTCTGAATCCCGGCCGGCCCGGCCCCGCCCCGCCGCCGAGGCCCCGCCCGCCTTCGCGGCGCAGAGCCGCGCACGCGCCTCGCGTGGCGCCGACCATCCCGCCGCTCCGCGCGTCCTAAGTGTGCGCGTGCGCTCGCGCGACGCCGGAAGCCCGCCTCGCCCCGCCCAAGTTCAGGCGCGCGCGCAGAGCGCCTCAGGGCCGCCGGGGCCGCGAGCCGAAGGGCTCGAGCGGAGGCGGTGAGCCGCGTGCCGCAGGCAGCCCGGCCGGCGTTGCCTTGTGCGCTTCTGGGAGGTGCGGGAACAGAGCCGGGACGGAGCCTCTGCAGCAGCGTTCGAGGAGTCACCTCTAACGTGGCACTGCTGACGCACGTCGCTGTTAGGCCGGAATCGGGCTGTCCTGTCTCGTTCTGGGCACCGTCCCGCCTGCAGGCAGATCTGCATGCAGTGCTGCATCCAGCGTCCCCAGCGCTGCAGCTCCAAGTGCGAGCTGCAGAAAGAACCACCGGGGCTGGGAACGATCACCATCCCAGCTATGGGGATACCATGGCAAACTAAGAGAAATTATTTCCTTATGATCAATTATATTACTTTCATAAAGATTAAAAAGCTTAAAAGGAGCAAAATCCTCGTATCCAGGCCCCACGTGGCAGAATAAATTCATCTGTTTTAAACCATGCTCCCCAGGCTGCAGATGGAGCTCTTGGAAAAAGCAGAACCAACTCACCACCCTTCAATCAGTGCTGACACCTCTCATATCCCTATAGCTTATATTTCAGTAGAGCAAACAATGATATTGAACAAATCTTCACCACAACTTCTCTTCTAGTTTCACACTAGCAGAAAAAGTTAATTCAAGAATAATAACAGTAACATTTTCACCATTTCATAAAGTGTTTATTGAGGATGGTAACACAGGATAAATCATGCAACAGCTCAGTAAAAAAAGGGAATCATTTAAAGGATAAAGAATGGTAACTGGTGCTGCTGATTTTGGAAAGTCTATTAAAAAAATATTAGTTGTCCAAAAGTGACATCAAAAACCACTTGAAGCTGAACATGGATGTTGCTTATACAGCACTCATTAAAAAGAAAATGTAGATATTGTTTAAAAATGATCACCTACAGATTACTGTAATCAACAACTTACAAGCCTCCCATTTCTATAGCTGCAGTGGTGTCGCAGGGCTGTACTTCCAGGCCACTTTACCTCCTTTTCCAGAACAAAGAATACAGTTACAAGCATTTGCCACTAAGCAACATAACCAAAACTCTCAGTCTTCACAACCTGCACTGCCAAGTGCTATCATCGTTGGGATTACCTTCCCAAACATCATGGCAAAACAGGAAAGGCCAATTTCTCACGGCCGCAAGATTTCCTTATTGCCCTCTTGCCATCAGCCTGTTTTAGAAGGAGGACAACTACAGAATGTGACTGCTCCCCTTCTGGCACCAACATACACTTTAAACAAGGAACTCCACGTCAGCAGATGGCACAAGGATTGGGCACCAGCACATCACATCAAACATTGGTGGTTTTAGATTTAAGTTGACATATATTCACCTTTTGGAAAAAATAAATATAGTGGAATGAAAATTGAATCAAAGGGAAAGAACAAATGACTACCATCCATCAAGGATGCACATGTTTGTGCACTGAAAAAAAAAAAAAAAAAAAAGAAAAAAAAAATCAGTAATTTCAAAGAAATTCTTGAAAATTAAGAAAAAGTTTGCACTTTTTTCCTGGTCATAAACAATCTCACAAAAATCTCACTTTTGGAATTATTCCAATTGAAACCATACACTGAATTTATTAATACAGTATAAGTTTCTTTATGTAAAAAATCTTTATACATAGTAATAAAAAAGATAAAGGCAAGATGCATCAAACAGAAATCTGCTGGTTGTTTTTCCTCCGTTCTTACAGAGCCGCTGATGACTACCTGCACTATAAAGAGCTGTGTTTCTGACTTTCTGTCTCAAGCATCTTCACCTTTGCTTGTGATAAGGATTGTTCTGTCCAAGCATCCAAAAGGACAGATGCTGGTGATGTTTTTTGGCACTTACGCTGGCAAACTGAGCTTCTTTCCCTTGAGTACTGTAGGAAAGGAAAAATTAAAAAGTTAGCAATACAAACATGTGACCAAGAAACACAACTGTTAGAACTTCAGAGCAACCAAAACCTTCTGGTCACTTTGGTAGAACAGGTACACTGCCCTTAGTTCTCCCAAACTTGCCTCTCTATTCAATACAGATGAGCGAAACAACAATGAAGTCAGAATTCCAGCCCTGCCCTCTCACAGCACCCTGGCATTCTCACTTTCCAGCATCACTGGACATGCTATCCCATAACTGCGGTTTTTCAGAGTAATGACTAACACCACATTTACATATTTTTGTGACTATACGATGGATGCTGGAATACCAATGACATCAGAATTAGTAAAAGATCCAACAGAAACAACTGCTTCTATGCTTAGCATCTGCAGACACATACAACCACCTCTGGGCTCCAACAGTATTAAAATGCCGTAGGAAGTTGTCTGTAAGTGTAACACCTGCACAAAAAGTACTTTGTCAGTAGAAGTATGAGGATCATGCTTGTTGACAGAGAAAACTGCAACCTGTATTTAGTCATACTTATTTTCACATTTGTCAATAAAATTCAGCCTGTTACACATTTATCTCCGAACTTGTAGAATGTGTTCCTGATAAATCTAAACAGATTACAGTAATAACTTGCATACAGAATTAATGACTATGCAGTAATGTCTATGAAGTGGATATGCAGCTGCATAGTGCTACATTTTGTTACCTGCAGCTGCAAGTTATCACACTACTCACCTTTTGTAACGTACAAATAGAAGAAGTCACAGTAAAGAACAGTCTGGACCACACCAGCAACAACCGCGATGAGGTCAAAAAATCCCTCAAAATAGTAGCGCCAAATCCAGTTGACCAAGTACAAGGCACGGTACAGACCCAGGAAGAAAAGGTAGTGAGTAGTGATGGTCTCCGCTTCCCCAGTTTTGCTGATCATAAAGAGCTGGGGGAGAATGGCGACAGATTCAAGGTAGATGGAGAAAGTCCACAATATCTGGAACGAAAAAAACAACACAGATTATTCAACTGTCACACTGTTAACAGAAGCACAGGAGGGATCCGAACTGCCTTCTCATTCCTATCAACCAAAATCACTCTACTGGGAACAGGCACAGTACTTTGACTACCCTTGATACAGTAAAAAAAATAAATTAAACCTTCCTAATCAGCCCTGGAATGGTACAAGTAACAAGCCTTCAGACACCACTCTCCCAACATGTGGGGAGCTTGCTGATACAAGTTTACCCATCTATCAGTTCAGGATACGCAGCACCATTAAATACAGCTCACAATGCTGCTGCTCTGAAAAGCTGTGTGGAAGATGAAGTCCTTCTTCTTCCCCATTCTTCTAAAATTTTAAATCAATTGATTGGTTTAAGGAATGAATTAAGGCAGTACAAAATTTAAAACAATATCTCAAAATGTTGCTCAAATTCTTTTGCTAGTTAAACCATGCAATTCCAATGAATATCAGAAGATCAGTCCACTTAAAAAGAGCATATAAAGATATCTCTATTCCGGGTAAACACTGACCTGAACTCTGTAGTACATATTCCCCTTCTGACAGAAGAACATCTAGCTGCATCTCAAACATAACAGTCCCTTCTAACACTCTATGCTACTTGTGTTTCTACAAAAGGTAACAAGTATTAAAACTTCTTTTGGTTTCAGCAGGGGGCACCAACGACTCACATTCTGGGTTATTTCCTTAACAAACATAACAAAAGGAGGGATTCTTTTGAATTTGAGTGTCAAGACAGCTTTCTGCTTAATAAAATACTCAATAACATTAGTCTCCCAAAGTGCTTTAAGTTCTCTGTGACAACTAGACGGTAAAGATGCATTACAGAATTGGCCTGGACCTACTAAACACAGGCATCTTTCATTCTGCTAAAAAACATTCACCGTCATGTACTACAGATCTTGGAAAATAAAGTGCAACCTCCTGCCCATAACCAACTCACCTCCAGAGGAGAGAAGTCATGATTGACAAGAAACGAGAGTCCACCAACAGGAACTATCAGAAACTCCACCCTGAACGTATCATGGTTTCCATCATAGGTGGCCTTAAATTTCATGTAGATCAGGTACACGGTGGCATATGAGCAGGCAATGTAGATAAGCTAAAGAGTGAGGAAAGAAAAAGAAATACCCACAAGGTTGCAGGATTACATTAAACCCACTGAACAAAGCTATTCCCAGGTACTAGGAGGAATAAGCTGTCTTTTTCAGTTTGTATTTTTTGCTTACATGCTTCTGCAATTGCAATTTCATGCTACGTGGTGGTATTCAGCTTTTCTCAGCAGGGAATAATTAAAACCAATGAGCCAATGATGTTTTAAAGTGTCACCTTGCCTCTGGATGAAGTGACTGTCAGAAGTTTCTTCCTGTCAGGGCTCATTCCTTGAGTAGAAACAACTGCAGCACCGACTGGAAAAGGAAGACTGCTTCTGCTACTGCAAGGGCAGCAGCGGCTCCATCACTGAAGCTACGTATCTACGTGTGCATACATACAGCAGGGAGGTCTTTTTTTTTTAAATTCAAAAAGTTTAGGGGTGTGGTGGCTCATCTGGCAATTAAAAAGGTACTGAATCAAGCCCCACCTCAACTCAGCTATGTAACATAAAACAAAACAGCTCATTTGATTTACAGCTTTAAACATCTCCTACATCTGCAGAGCCAGTGTTCTCTGAAACCAACAGGCCATGAAACCAAAAGCTAAAAGACTGCCAGAAGCACTGAAGAGGAACTCAGTTTCAATTTCAGTTGATGACAAACCTCACCATTTTTAATTGTTACAGCACAGCAGACTTTATACTTATTCCCCATGGGACAGGTAAGTAGCCTTATTTTACAGGTAAGTAACCAGAATCAGAGATAATACCTCACTTCCTGAAGGGCACTCTGCCATCACCAGGACAAT